CGGCCCACCGAGACCTACAGACCCGCAGACCTACCGAGGGCGAGGCCATCACCGCGCCCGCCCCGGGGCTCCAAGGGAGACATGTGCACCGGCCCAGACGACACAGGGGAGCCCAAGGATGTGTGGACCGTGGGTGCCGGGGCTCCCCGAGTGGAGGGGAGGCCCAGGTTGGGGCCCTGGCGACGCTCTGAGAGCCCCAGGGTGGCTGCTGCAGACAGAAGGCAGGGTACGGTTAGAGCACAGGACCAGCCTGGGGTCAAAAGTGGTGGGGAGACGCAGGGGGACCGGCTGGGGCTCACCGGGCTCCAGGTGCTGCTGTCCGCCTTCAAGCTGGGGCTGGGCCGTGAGCCTGGAGTGCCGGGGCTCCTGCCGGGCCAGCTCCTGGGCCAGGAAGTCAATCTCGTCTTCCAGTCTCGGCCTGGGCAGGTTCTCCCCTGGGGGGGTGGGGGAGGGGCCATCAGATGGAGAGGCTCCTAGCCCATCCCTGGCAACGCCAGCTGCAGGCGGCCCTCCGGAGAAGGTGAGGCCGGTCCGGGAAGCAGACTCCAGGCCTAGGCCTCCTTCTCCCTCCAGGCTCCTCCCAGGGGCCGGTGGTGGCCAGAGGACCGGGTACCAGCTTGCCAGCCCCGGCCATCCTGAGTTGCCATGGTGACAGCCGAAGGCAGTCCACAGGAGCGGCAGCTCTCCCAGGGAAGTGGGGGTGGGGGCAAGGGAGCGGAGGAGTTAGGGGAATGTGCAGAGGCTAGGAGGAGAAGGGCAGGGAGCTCCTCGCCCTGCCTGTTACCCATGCATCACTCCACCCCTTCTCTACCAAGACAGGCAGTGGCTCCTCAAGAAGAGGGGAGAGGCCCCATCCTGTTCCCCCCCCCTCCCCAGGTCATCAGTAGGAACCGAGGGCAGCTCTCTGAGTGGGGCTGGTGTCTCGGCTCCTCCTCCCCGTCCCTGCCGTGGGCTCCACAGCTCAGACAGAGGCTCCAGGCCGACACTCTGCACAGCATCGAAAGAGCAGGACGCCTGCCACCTTCTAGAAGCAAGCCTGTACATCTCATTCCCCTGCCTCCCCTACAGCCGGGAAGGTCCTCCTGCCCCACCAGACTTCAGCTCCCCCGGCATCCCTCTGTAATCCCCTTCACACCTGAAGTCACTCGGCATCTGGCTGGCTGTCCAGACATCCGGGGCTCAGATCGGTCGGTAAGCCACATGGATTGCGCAGGGTGAGTGAGCCACGGAGGAAGAGGTCACCCTGGGCGAGGAGCCGGGGCAGCCCAGGGGGTACGACTTGGGGAGCTCTAACCTGCTTCTCTCCTGGAGTCACCCCAGCATTTCACACCACACACCCTTTGTCCCGGTAGGGGCTAACTGCCCCAGGCCTCGGCACACTGCCAGGCTCTGGGCTGGTGCTATCTGGAAAGATCACCAGGCTACTCGGAGACAGAAGAGTCTCCGGCACCTGACAAAGCTCAAGGGACCTAGGAGCCGAGGTTGAGTGGCGAATGTGTCAGGACAGGGGAGGGGGGAGGACATCCTTCTCTCCCATACCCGCAGGCCGGCGCATCCTGGGTACACAGAGCCCTTCCTGATCTTCCTGGAAGGGCTGAAGGCAGGGCCCACAGACGTGTGCGCCCGGGGGGCACCGTGCCCGCCTCTTCAGGGCGCAGTCCAGGCTCCCAGGACAGACAGCGGCATCTAGGAAGGAAGCAGAGCCGGGTCACCGCCCTGCTTGGCTCAGCCCCTGCACAGAAACAGTACCGCCCTGGCCACTCCTCCCTCACTGAGCTGACCCATTGGCCTGGCTCCGGCCATTGTTCTGGGCAGGCCCTTCCTCCTAACAGCCAGAAACCAGGACCAGGAAGACAAGCAGTCCCAACATTTTACTGGAACTTCCCTGCCCCACCCACTCCCCAGAGTCCACTTGGGAGGCCTGAGCCAGCCCTGTAAGGAAGCCCTCCCTCACTGGCTGCACAGCAACAGCGCTCCTGGCCAGGGCCGTGCGGCCCTCTGGGTCCTGCCTGCAGTTGCAACGTGCCCTGAACAAGCCCTGGACCTTCCATCCAGACTGGGAGCCCCGGAAGGGGGGGCCCAGGTCCGTCTCTGACAGGGACAGCGTAGGATGCTGGCCGCCCACCTCTCCCACCACGCTAGGACTGTGCTGCAAGTCCCAGCATGCCATCCCCCAGCCCCAGAGCAGAGCCGGAAGACAGCCCAGAACAAGGGAAGACAGCCCTTCCTCCAGCGTCTGACCTCTGGCCTGTCACCAGAGCACAGAGAAGCTGCTGGGTTGGGGAGCTCTAGAATAGGGTCAGCAAATCTGACTTGCTTGAAATACGGAAGCCAGGCCAGGGTCACTCTTGCAGCCACGCTGCCAGGGACCGGGGAGTCCTGTATACGCAGCTAGTAGGCCTCCACGCCCGTTTCCCTTCTCAGATGCAGGAGAGTTGCCTCGAAACGAGGGAATCTCCCAAGGCCTGGGACGCTGGCCCCAGGTATGAGCAGCAGAGCCAGAGGACCCCGGAAGATACCCAGCGGGCCCATCAATTCTGGTTGGGGAGGCTGGGATGGGGCATCTCTGGAGGACTAGGACTACTCCTCTCTACCTAGCCCCCCCCCC